CCCCAACCCCCCTCCCCCCCCCCCCCCCAAAAAAAAAAAAAGAGACCCTTTCAAGTACGCGCAAGTGGTACGATACTTACCTCTATCAAACCTCTTTATAGGTGAAAACCTTGTCCATTGAGTGCAATGACTTCGCAGCTCTCAACACGAGGAATAAGTCAAATTTTGGCCTTGTTTGTCGAACAAAAAGAAGTCCTCACATACACCATAATTGGGCAAGAAAGAATTTTGCTCACCATGTGAAACACACTTAATTGTGTGGAATTTTTTTCAGAACCATTCAACTTGTATCAATTTTTTTCAGCAAGAAAATCAAACAATTGGTAATCATACAATCTGTGCCACATACATGTTTAAAATATGTCACATCGGTGATAAAAATTGAATTAACCTATTTATCCCCTCTAAATAATGTGTTAACCCCACATGTATAATCGTGAAGAACGATCCATTCCGCATATTATTTCCCAAAATTTGATATCATATCAGGTCTCCCTATAGAATTACATTAGGCACTTTGTAGGCGTTTATTGTTTTGTTAACTTTAACCTATGTTTACCACAATTACCTCTTCTCAAATCAATTGAACAATTAAAATTGAGAATCCTTTTTTACACAAGAACAACCCTATAAGATTACATTAGGCACTTTGTAGCAATGTCATCTTTGAGTAGTACAATGGAAATACTCTTTGCTTGATAACAAATCTGCTACAAATTTTCTCCTCCATATATCTTCTTGTTTCCTTTTCCCACTGTTCTTTGAATTATCAAAAAACATCTGACCATCTCTTGCTATCAAGGAAATACATCAAAGACTACAATTGGGCAAGAAAGGATTTTGCTCACCATGTGAAACACACTTAATTGTGTGGAATTTTTTTCAGAACCATTCAACTTGTATCAATTTTTTTCAGCAAGAAAATCAAACAATTGGTAATCATACAATCTGTGCCACATACATGTTTAAAATATGTCACATCGGTGATAAAAATTGAATTAACCTATTTATCCCCTCTAAATAATGTGTTAACCCCACATGTATAATCGTGAAGAACGATCCATTCCGCATATTATTTCCCAAAATTTGATATCATATCAGGTCTCCCTATAGAATTACATTAGGCACTTTGTAGGCGTTTATTGTTTTGTTAACTTTAACCTATGTTTACCACAATTACCNAGTCATCGGAGAGCCCTCAATTGACAGAGAAGAAGATCTTCAATCACCGGAGAAGACGCTATATGCGTCTGGTTTCGTCGCCAAAATAGAGAGAGTCTGAGAGAGAGAGAGAAANTGAGCACAGTTATCAACCAATGTCAGCTGTGGCATTATCAGCTGTTAGTTTGAATGGTATCTTCTGCCTTTCCCAAAGAGGAAGGTGATAGGCTCAAGTCCTAGTTGAGATACGGTTCCACGATTGATAAAACAAAGGTTGATAGACAGTAAGATTAAAGATGGAAGAATATCTACTCTTTCATTCCTTTCACCAACCGCTGATATCCACCCCCTCGGATACCCCAAAAATAGACATTTCAACAAAAAGTATCAATTAGGCAGATATACCATTTAATCACAAAGTTACCTCCTGCATCTCAAGTTCATCTTAATCAAAGCCACCTTCTGCTATCTTCTTGTGCATTCTTTGGCCAACATATTCCTCCATTTATCCTTAAGGTCAACAGGAGTACGAGTATCATCAAATACACGACAACCAAACTCCAAGATTTTCCTCCATGGGAGATTTTTGTTTGCTGTGGTGGAGAATTTCTGAACTCCTTCCTGCAGCATAAGAGTACTTAACAAGAATTAGATACCTACTACTTGTGCCAAATTAGGGATTCATTCATATTCTTCTTTCATAAAATAATCCAAGAAAATTTTTATTGAGGAAATATTCTCTATGCACAAAACAAATAAACACTCTGTGCACCAAGTTACTCCACAAAACCCACTCTTCACACAAAGACAGTGGATGAAATTGCAAACAATGCTGTAAAAATCTTTTATGCTACATTTAATTGGGATATCCTCAAAATCTTCTAGTTTGATGAAAACAAGGGGCCTGTTTGGTTTGCGTCTCACAAAACAGTATCTAAAAATTGTTTTTAGGAAAAAATTCTGAAAACTAGTTTTGGTGTTTTTTGTGACACATAACTTGTTTGGTTATATATTTCCAAAAATAATTATACAGAACAAAAAAATATAAAACCTATTTGGACATGCACATGGCAAGAGATGCAAATTGAGGGTCTGTAATATTTTAATATTAATATAATGAACTTGATAAAAAAAAAAAAAAATCTAGCCATTGATTAAACTGCATTGTCGGATTCGCCGGAGTAGACAAACCCATCGACTGAACTGGTTCACGACGGAGAAGACAAACACAAATCCAAAACCCAAAATCCAAGATTCATCCAAGACCAAGCATACACGACGAAGAGCCCTCAATCAACGAAGAAGACTATGAACCCATTTGCCGGAGAAGACCCTTTCGTCAGAGTAGACCCATATCTGAAAAAAAAATCATCTCATACCTAAAAAAATACTCAGATCTAAAAAACAACCCCTGATCTGAAGGTCTCAGNGAGAGCCCTCAGTCAACGAAGAAGACTATGAACCCATTTGCCGGAGAAGACCCTTTCGTCGGAGAAGACCCATATCTGAAAAAAAATCAACTCATACCTAAAAAAATACTCAGATCTAAAAAACAACCCCTGATCTGAAGGTCTCAGNTAAAAAATCTAGCCATTGATTAAACTGCATTGTCGGATTCGCCGGAGTAGACAAACCCATCGACTGAACTGGTAACCAGAGTAGCCATCGACTGAACTGGTTCACGACGGAGAAGACAAACACAAATCCAAAACCCAAAATNCGAGCACAGTTATCAACCAAAGTCAGCTGTGGCATTATCAGCTGTTAGTTTGACTGGTATCTTCTGCCTTTCCCAAAGAGGAAGGTGATAGGCTCAAGTCCTAGTTGAGATACGGTTGCACGATTGATAAAACAAAGGTTGATAGACACTAAGATTAAAGATGGAAGAATATCTACTCTTTCATTCCTTTCACCAACCGCTGATATCCACCCCCTCGGATACCCCAAAAATAGACATTTCAACAAAAAGTATCAATTAGGCAGATATACCATTTAATCACAAAGTTACCTCCTGCATCTCAAGTTCATCTTAATCAAAGTCACCTTCTGCTATCTTCTTGTGCATTCTTTGGCCAACATATTCCTCCATTTATCCTTAAGGTCAACAGGAGTACGAGTATCATCAAATACACGACAACCAAACTCCAAGATTTTCCTCCATGGGAGATTTTTGTTTGCTGTGGTGGAGAATTTCTGAACTCCTTCCTGCAGCATAAGAGTACTTAACAAGAATTAGATACCTACTACTTGTGCCAAATTAGGGATTCATTCATATTCTTCTTTCATAAAATAATCCAAGAAATTTTTTATTGAGGAAATATTCTCTATGCACAAAACAAATAAATACTCTGTGCACCAAGTTACTCCACAAAACCCACTCTTCACACAAAGACAGTGGATGAAATTGCAAACAATGCTGTAAAAATCTTTTACGCTACATTTAATTGGGATATCCTCAAAATCTTCTAGTTTGATGAAAACAAGGGGCCTGTTTGGTTTGCGTCTCACAAAACAGTATCTAAAAATTGTTTTTAGGAAAAAATTCTGAAAACTAGTTTTGGTGTTTTTTGTGACACATAACTTGTTTGGTTATATATTTCCAAAAATAATTATACAGAACAAAAAAATATAAAACCTATTTGGACATGCACATGGCAAGAGATGCAAATTGAGGGTCTGTAATATTTTAATATTAATATAATGAACTTGATAAAAAAAAAAAAAAATCTAGCCATTGATTAAACTGCATTGTCGGATTCGCCGGAGTAGACAAACCCATCGACTGAACTGGTTCACGACGGAGAAGACAAACACAAATCCAAAACCCAAAATCCAAGATTCATCCAAGACCAAGCATACACGACGGAGAGCCCTCAGTCAACGAAGAAGACTATGAACCCATTTGCCGGAGAAGACCCTTTCGTCGGAGAAGACCCATATCTGAAAAAAAATCAACTCATACCTAAAAAAATACTCAGATCTAAAAAACAACCCCTGATCTGAAGGTCTCAGTCATCGGAGAGCCCTCAATTGACAGAGAAGAAGATCTTCAATCACCGGAGAAGACGCTATATGCGTCTGGTTTCGTCGCCAAAATAGAGAGAGTCTGAGAGAGAGAGAGAGAGAAGGTCGAGGAGAGAGATAGGTAAAAAAAAATGTTTTATACTAGATAGTGTTTTTTGTTGCTAAGAAGGCTCGAAGAGGATACCTCATTAATTTGGAGATGCTCTGTTTTCCGCGTTTTCATTTTACTTCAAAAAACTCCGAAAACAACAAAATGATATTCTCTAAAATCACATCTCAATTCCCAAAATTTTCAAAAAATTGGAGAATAGAAAAGCTAAACAAACAGCATACTCCTTGTTTTTAGAGTTTAGAGAACAAAAAACTGTTTTTGAAAACCAAACCAAACAGGCCACTAAAGTTCCTGTGTTTCCATTACCCTGATAAATACCTATAGAATATAATCTTCTGATTTACATACACGCGTGAAAAGGAAATGTAGGTGATTCACAATTTTCGTTACTGCATATAATCCTTCATAAGTAAACACCCAAAGGAACAAAAATAAGATGAATGCTTAAACAATCCGACTCCTAAACGAACTTGCTTAAAAATAAGATGCATGCTTATCATCCATAATATGTTTATATTGTAAATAATGCACAAACAAATAGTATGAGGGAAATGTGAACAAAGTAGCTTGGACCAAAGACTTCTCAAAATCAAAGCTCTTATTCTTATACCATGTTCAGCATCCATTATCCCCAAAACCTTAAGCTTTATTTCTACCATTCAAGCAGCATTTAATTCATGGACTATGCAAATTTTTAGGTTCAACACTCTATGAATATCAGGTGCAGAATGTTTTAGAAAGTTTAGTCTTTACATTTTCAAACCAAGCACATCACCACTAAAACTCTAAGCTAACTGCACAATAAAGTAGATGGGCTTGTATTGCAAAATGGAAACTTTCAATATCTGCCAAATACTTGTAAATATTTGCCTGTCCTTATTGTCAAAGTCAGTAAGCTGTGTAACATGTACCTTTAGCATTTCTTCCTCTTCATCCCTCCATAGTAGTTTCTTACGCCTTGCATTAGGAAACGTTGGGTGCACACTGCAAAGGAAAAACCGCAGGCAACAATTATCAACACACATCAACACTCTACTAACTGCTATTTCAGAATATAATCAATTCCATTTCAGCATGATCTTTGTGAAGAATATAAGACTTCAAACATTCTCAAGTTATTGACCACTCACAACCGTTTAGAAGGCCCTTCAAGTTGTCTCACATTCCTAGCAGTTTCATTTTTCTCCTTTGGCACCGCATTGCTTCTTTGTTCAGAAGATGATTTCCTCAATGATCTACCTCGGGGATCAAGATTCAGAGGCTGTGATGCATTTTTATACTTTTGTTTTTCCTGGACTTGCTCCTGCCCCTGTTCTTCTTCTGCTCTTCTACCTTCATTCTCTTTCAATATCCGTGCATTTTTCCGTTTTCTTTTGGTTGAAACATTTAGTGCACCATCTGAAGTCGTTTCATCTTCTACAGGAGAAGCATTCAAATTCCCTGCCTGTTGTTGATCCTGAACAGCTCTCTCATGTTGGTTGTCAGCAAGTTGTCTTTGATGGTTTTTTTGAACACTAATACCAACTTCTACCATTTCAAATTGGTGTGCTGTCCCTTCTTCTCTACAACATAAACCATCACCACAGGCAATGATAGGCTCCAAGTTTGTTTGATTTTCAACCACCATCCCATGATTATCACAATTATTTTGTTTAGCATACTCATCACACATGCTCGGTAAGACATGAATTTGCTTCCGTACAATTGACACATCACCTCCTTTACATGGTTTAGCACTTTTAGTGCATTCATGAGAAAACCTTTCTTCTTGTCGATCTTCTTCCAATTGGATGGACTGATTTGGAACATCCTTACTGTCCGGCCTATTCCTGCTTATGGAGCAATTAATACGTACATCAACTGTTGATAAATTTATCTCCTTCCTCTTAGCTATCCCAACCTTTTGCTTTTGTTGCTCTTTATACATCATTCCATTATCTAAAAAATTAGATAAAGCTTTCTTTTTTAGCATTGCCTTCTCTCTTGCTTGATGTGAATCTGCTATAGCTTGTTTATACCAGCAGTACGGACAGTAGAAATTTCCCTTCTCACCAAATCGAGGTGGACAGCCCATGCACTTCTCATGAACAGCTATAGGGCAGCAACTGCCACTGCAAACGAACACCTTGCTACCTTTATCACATTTAATACAAATATCTTTTTCCGAACAACCCATGTCCCAACAATCTTCTTGCTCACTTATGTTACTCTTTTTTGTTGCAAAATCTTTTTCAGCACTTGTATTCGAAGCTAGGTCATGATACTGTCCATTGTTTAATGTTTCAGATGCTAGTTTTTGTACACCATTGCTCTTTTCCGACAAATCCTCTTCTTTTTCACTTATGTTACTCTGTATCCTATTAAGATTTTTTCCAGCACTTGTACTAGAATCTTGGCCATGACACTGTCCAACATCTAATGTGTCAGACGCTATGTTTTGTACACCATTGTTATGAATTTGGTTGACTGGCGTATCATTGTGAGAGTAATCAGTCTTTTCTTCACAAGGACATGGCTGAGCAGAAATACACGACAAAATTGCATAAGGACAATTGACATACACAGCTGTATACATTCATATATACAATATATACGTATATATATTGCGAAATTCATGTATATAAATTTATACATACATTCATGTAATTATTCATAAGAACGGTGAAAGAATTACCGGACAGAGGTAGTTAAGAGCCTTAGAGGAAGGTTTGGGTGGAAGACGAATGAGCCTGGCCCTAGCTCCTCCGGTGATTTTGGTTCTCATCAAACAGCAATATGGTCGAGCGAAGGAATTTTAGCGAATTTGAAAGCGCATGAATTTGAAATTAGGGTTAGTAATCCGGAAGTTAAGGTAACACCGTAACAGGCATATATGTTGGCACCAGAATTACTTCGATGGGTTGCCTGGGTCGGGTGGCAATTTTTATTTATTATATTTATTAAATTAATTTTTTGTTTATAGAAAAAAGTATAAGCATTATGTTTTTGGGAACATTTTAGTTGTACCCCTTCTAATTTATCGTAGATTCGAAGACATCCCTCTATTATCAAAAATATCATTGACATCCCTTTTAATTTATATTTAAACATCGCTGACACTCCTCGCCATTAAATTACTATTTATAACAAGAATTAATTATTTAAAATATTAACATTGTCCCTATATAAAATTCAAACAATCTTTTTACATAAAATTAAATTAAAATTCGAGCCGATTAAAATTCATTTTCTACATATTAAAATTTGAGCTAATTAAAATTCTTTTTTATACATATTAAAATTTGAGTCAATTAAAATTAGATTCGACCTGATTAAATTTTTTTTTTTATGTATTAAAATTTGAACTTATTAAAAGTCTTTTTTTACGTATTAAAATTTGAACCGATTTGAGTTCNCCTGATTAAATTTTTTTTTTATATATTAAAATTTGAACTTATTAAAATTCTTTTTTTATGTATTAAAATTTGAACCGATTTGAGTTCTACTTAAGTTGTTAGCCCCTATTAAAATTAGTTTCAAATNCATTTTAGTTGTACCCCTTCTAATTTATCGTAGATTCGAAGACATCCCTCTATTATCAAAAATACAATTGACATCCCTTTTAATTTATATTTAAACATCGCTGACACTCCTCGCCATTAAATTACTATTTATAACAAGAATTAATTATTTAAAATATTAACATTGTCCCTATATAAAATTCAAACAATCTTTTTACATAAAATTAAATTAAAATTCGAGCCGATTAAAATTCATTTTCTACATATTAAAATTTGAGCTAATTAAAATTCTTTTTTATACATATTAAAATTTGAGTCAATTAAAATTAGATTCGAGCTGATTAAATTTTTTTTTTTATGTATTAAAATTTGAACTTATTAAAAGTCTTTTTTTACGTATTAAAATTTGAACCGATTTGAGTTCTACTTAAGTTGTTAGCCCCTATTAAAATTAGTTTCAAATTGATTAAAATTTATATTTTATTATTTATTAAAATTCGATTTAAATTAATTAAAATTTATTTTTTACGTATTGAAATTTAAGTTAAAATTTGATTTAAGCCTCGTATATAATTTTAATCGACTCGAATTTTAATACATAAATAATAAATTGTAATTAACTTGAATCGAATTTTAATCGATCTGAATTTGAATGCATAAAAAATTTAAAAAATAAAAGGGATCTCATTGAAGATATACCTATCTAGAGATGGTGTGGATGAAATTTAACCTAAAATATATCATGTGCAATTTACTAAAATTATNGCTGATTAAATTTTTTTTTTTATGTATTAAAATTTGAACTTATTAAAAGTCTTTTTTTACGTATTAAAATTTGAACCGATTTGAGTTCTACTTAAGTTGTTAGCCCCTATTAAAATTAGTTTCAAATTGATTAAAATTTATATTTTATTATTTATTAAAATTCGATTTAAATTAATTAAAATTTATTTTTTACGTATTGAAATTTAAGTTAAAATTTGATTTAAGCCTCGTATATAATTTTAATCGACTCGAATTTTAATACATAAATAATAAATTGTAATTAACTTGAATCGAATTTTAATCGATCTGAATTTGAATGCATAAAAAATTTAAAAAATAAAAGGGATCTCATTGAAGATATACCTATCTAGAGATGGTGTGGATGAAATTTAACCTAAAATATATCATGTGCAATTTACTAAAATTATATTTTAATTAACACATTTAATCTGCTATAGTATCCATGAAGATATGATAAATTAGAAAAGGTGTGATTAAATTTTCTTAAATTTTTTATTCACGAGTTAGATGGATCAACATGAATATAACACAAAATAAATAAGTCAATGTGACACAACATGATTAGTTAAATGGGTTGGATTTGGTTGGGTGACTAATGCTTGACACAAACCCAAAATAATACAATACGAAGACGACATAATGGTTGGGTTACCCCTATTCTCAATGTGCGCCCTTTTTTCCCTCCAAGAATTCTGTTTTGTTTTGTTTTGTTTTGATTCAATAGTGCTATTTAAGTCTAATTCATTGATAATTTACTAACCTAATTCATCATAATTATTATTGATTATGGGTCCCAGCAAATATTGAGGTTCATTGTCAAACTAATAGGTATGAATGATTAAATCAACAAATTATGTTAATAAATTATGTCCTAATAATATTATTCTTTTCTTTTTTTTTTCTTTTTTTTTGTGCCAATAGAACAATTGTGTTTGATAAAAATTATAGATGTGATACGTAAATTGAATAAAAATTTGCAAGAAATTAGTAGTTTGTCTAATAATTATCGTCGGTGCTATTAAATTTTAAGGTTATAGGTTCGAATTTCATCGTTTCTCTCTCTTGTCTATTGTTGTTGAATTAGTGAGTTTAAATTCTCATTTGACTATAAAAAATTATAGCACATAAGGTTAAATATATTTTAAGATAAATTACATTAACCTTCCTTTAAGTTTGGTCAAATGACAACTATATTTCCTCTATTATAAAGAATAACATTGCACTCCATTGTTTTTCTATTTTACCTATAATTAATNAAATTTTAATCGACTCGAATTTTAATACATAAATAATAAATTGTAATTAACTTGAATCGAATTTTAATCGGTCTGAATTTAAATGCATAAAAAATTTAAAAAATAAAGGGGATCTCATTGAAGATATACCTATCTAGAGATGGTGTGGATGAAATTTAACCTAAAATATATCATGTGCAATTTACTAAAATTATATTTTAATTAACACATTTAATCTGCTATAGTATCCATGAAGATATGATAAATTAGAAAAGGTGTGATTAAATTTTCTTAAATTTTTTATTCACGAGTTAGATGGATCAACATGAATATAACACAAAATAAATAAGTCAATGTGACACAACATGATTAGTTAAATGGGTTGGATTTGGTTGGGTGACTAATGCTTGACACAAACCCAAAATAATACAATACGAAGACGACATAATGGTTGGGTTACCCCTATTCTCAATGTGCGCCCTTTTTTCCCTCCAAGAATTCTGTTTTGTTTTGTTTTGTTTTGATTCAATAGTGCTATTTAAGTCTAATTCATTGATAATTTACTAACCTAATTCATCATAATTATTATTGATTATGGGTCCCAGCAAATATTGAGGTTCATTGTCAAACTAATAGGTATGAATGATTAAATCAACAAATTATGTTAATAAATTATGTCCTAATAATATTATTCTTTTCTTTTTTTTTCCTTTTTTTTTGTGCCAATAGAACAATTGTGTTTGATAAAAATTATAGATGTGATACGTAAATTGAATAAAAATTTGCAAGAAATTAGTAGTTTGTCTAATAATTATCGTCGGTGCTATTAAATTTTAAGGTTATAGGTTCGAATTTCATCGTTTCTCTCTCTTGTCTATTGTTGTTGAATTAGTGAGTTTAAATTCTCATTTGACTATAAAAAATTATAGCACATAAGGTTAAATATATTTTAAGATAAATTACATTAACCTTCCTTTAAGTTTGGTCAAATGACAACTATATTTCCTCTATTATAAAGAATAACATTGCACTCCATTGTTTTTCTATTTTACCTATAATTAATATTATAAACTTCATCATCTCCTTTCATCCTACATTAAGTACATCAATAAATTAAATTTTATTCTATTCATTTAAGCTCTAACTATTTAATACTCTATCAATTTATTATAATTATATCAATGGTCATTCTTTAATGCCTTGAAATGAGTGTTCTTATATANATTTTATTCTATTCATTTAAGCTCTAACTATTTAATACTCTATCAATCTATTATAATTATATCAATGGTCATTCTTTAATGCCTTGAAATGAGTGTTCTTATATAGATAAAAGCTTTTTAATCATTAACTAGNAAATATATCATGTGCAATTTACTAAAATTATATTTTAATTAACACATTTAATCTGCTATAGTATCCCTGAAGATATGATAAATTAAAAAAGGTGTGATTAAATTTTCTTAAATTTTTTATTCACGAGTTAGATGGATCAACATGAATATAACACAAAATAAATAAGTCAATGCGACACAACATGATTAGTTAAATGGGTTGGATTTGGTTGGGTGATTAATGCTTGACACAAACCCAAAATAATACAATACGAAGACGACATAATGGTTGGGTTACCCCTATTCTCAATGTGCGCCCTTTTTTCTCTCCAAGAATTATGTTTTGTTTTGTTTTGTTTTGATTCAATAGTGCTATTTAAGTCTAATTCATTGATAATTTAATAACCTAATTCATCACAATTATTATTGATTATGGGTCCCAACAAATATTGAGGTTCATTGTCAAACTAATAGGTATGAATGATTAAATCAACAAATTATGTTAATACATTATGTCCTAATAATATTATTCTTTTCTTTTTTTTTCTTTTTTTTGTGCCAATAGAACAATTGTGTTTGATAAAAATTATAGATGTGATACGTAAATTGAATAAAAATTTGCAAGAAATTAGTAGTTGGTCTAATAATTATCGTCGGCGCTATTAAATTTTAAGGTTATAGGTTCGAATTTCATCGTTTCTCTCTCTTGTCTATTGTTGTTGAATTAGTGAGTTTAAATTCTCATTTGACTATAAAAAATTATAGCACATAAGGTTAAATATATTTTAAGATAAATTACATTAACCTTCCTTTAAGTTTGGTCAAATGACAACTATATTTCCTCTATTATAAAGAATAACATTGCACTCCATTGTTTTTCTATTTTACCTATAATTAATATTATAAACTTCATCATCTCCTTTCATCCTACATTAAGTACATCAATAAATTAAATTTTATTCTATTCATTTAAGCTCTAACTATTTAATACTCTATCAATTTATTATAATTATATCAATGGTCATTCTTTAATGCCTTGAAATGAGTGTTCTTATATAGATAAAAGCTTTTTAATCATTAACTAGCACTAAGGGCAGCGGTTTCTTCTCATGAAGAAGAGTGAAAACTGTTTTAGTCCTTTTGGACTTCTAGCTACTATCTCCATCATTTTTTCTTATTCCATTATAACTTAAAATTCAAATTTGGATCATTGGCTATGTGATTTGGAATAACCGATATTTTTTTACTAAAATAAAATTGTCATCCATGATATCATTGAAAACTCTTCATATCAGTTGTAAGGGTCACCTTATTGCATGATTTCTATTTTTATAATATTCTATCATCCATAGTAAGTCTTTCTCATATTCTTTTCTCTCAACTCACTGATCGCTTTCTTTAGAATTCTTAATCATGCTAAAAATAATTTATTTTTCACATCCAATGTGGACATTGGATTCACTCTCAAAGTGTCAAATATTTACTAATTTGAAGTTGAATTATATTGCAAGTTATTCTCATTTACCAGGTTAATCAATCAAATGAAAGCCTTTAGCTGTGTCCCTTTAGCTTTTAAAGTAGTCCTTAAAATGCTCTAAAATTGAATGAATTATTCACTATAATATCTTGTAAATTCGTTCAAAATAAGTTTCTTACTGTGACACATAAAGACATAACACGTAATTGAAATTTTTTTTTTTTTTTTTTTTTATCATTTTTCAAGTTTCTCATAAATCTACTCTGACTAAACTCTCAACTCCCTTCAAATTCTCTACTATTCTAGTCTACATTTTCTTATCAGGTACTAATTTTTTATAATTTTGGATTATTTAATAATAATATATTGATCTAGTCATAACTCGTGTTTGAAGGCACGATAAAATATAAAATTCAAGTGCCTAAAAAATCGATCTCAATATATTAAATTTTTTTAACATGTGTATACTATCTTATATTAATAATGTTTAAAATAAAAATTATATTAACTACAAATTAATCAAATATTAAATGATTAAACATATGATAAAAATGAGTGATGTGATAATTTTAGGGGAAAAATATATAAATGATTAAACATGTGATAAAAAATAAGTGATATGATATTTTTAGGGGAAAAATATGTAAGAAATAAAAATTTAAGTTACTATATATTTTATTATATAGATTATTGTAAAGTTATATTATAATACTAAGATTGAAATAAGGCTTAAGGGGTGGGGTTTGGAGGATCAGGTGAGATGTGTTTGTCACAAAAAAACACTTTATTCATATTCGATTCGTTCATTAAGTCGTGTTTAATGAATCGTGTCAAATCGATTTTGTGTCATATATAAATTGTGTATAATCAATATTTAAACGCTTGAATTTTTTTAAATTAATTTCACTCATACCTAATTTATTTATTAATTATGTCGTATTGGATTCACTCGTTTATGAAACAAATAATTTAAAAAAAATTCAAACTCTTTACTTTGGTGTATTATTTCATATTTTGACACCTTTACTAGGACTAAATTACATCCAGAGCCCCTCAGCTTTGCCACTTACCCAAAGAATAATGATAGCAAGGGGCCAAGGGCTTACTCACGGAGCAGCCGCGTGCGTCGCTATCTAACCATCTTTGCGTACTTGGGTCTGATCCTCTCCCCCTAAAAGTCCAAAACCCTAAAAACAATCTGCTATTTCGTGCCTTCGCTGTACGGAGTGATGTGTTTACAACACACAAATTCACAAATATTCGGTCTTGCAATATAGTTTTTCATCTTGTTGATTAGCTTCGATAAAGTTCGAATTGGTGGTGCTCTGCTGAATTTCCAGTTGGATTGATAATGGTAAATTATTTTTCCCGCTTCAGTTACTCTTTAGTTCTCTGAAATCGCAAGTTTGCCTTCTGATATACTGTTGACTTGTACTGTAATTGAAATTTTGGGTTCTGATATTCTGCTCCTTGTACACTGTTCTGTGGATTTTTTGCACTGTTTAATAGGGTTTTGTGATGCGGGACTGTTTCGATGGTATTGTGTTTGTTGAGTATTTGAGTTCTGTTGTTTCTGTTTTGTTGATTATGGCAGTTGTACTGGAATAATTAGGAATCTTTTATACATGCTTGGGTGTGTAAATTCATTGGTGTACTACTCTATGTTTTCAAAATAATTGTACAGGAGGGCCTCAAGCTTTATGCGATTTTGTTGAGTTTTTTGAAAAACAAGAATGATGGTTTGTCTGACATATATGTGTGTTTGTATATTTCAACCAATTTTAAGTTCCGAGTCACCGTCTTGAGTTTGAGAAACGAGTAATAACGAGTAGTGATGTCATTAATTTTGTGTACGAGCAAAGCAGTAGCCTCACATTGTCTGCTTGTGTGTGTGTTTGTGCATGTGTGGCCATTTATGTTGTGTGTGAGTGTGTTAAAGGGAGTGGGGGTGGTGTTAATGTGTGTATTTAGACTGTGTTTTGCTTGATTCTGACTTCATCCATGTTGATATTTACAGACTAGCAGAGGAGGAAGGGAGAGGGACAGGTTTCGCAGGGATTACCCTATGAGATCTGAAGAGAAGAGTCATGGACGGAACAATCCCCCATCGAGACACCTCTGGGTTGGAAATCTTGCTCAACATATAACTGAGAATACTTTGGCTAATCACTTCTTACAGTTTGGTGAGCTAGAGAGCATTGCTTTCCAACCTGGTCGTAGCTATGCATTCATTAATTTTAAAAATGAGGATGAGGCCTTTGCTGCTATAAGGGAACTTCAAGGATTTGTTTTGGCGGGAAATCCAATTAGAATTGAGTTTACAAAGGCGGTTAGTGTTGTCCACATTTGTCTATCTTCCTTACAATGCCATGTTGCTGTTATTTCTTGTATATGTAGACTTACCATCAGAGATATAAAAATCCATAGCAGCTCCATATTTGCACTATTTGCACATGCTGAGAAAGAATAATTGAAAGAGAAACATAATATAGTCACTAAATAATGTCTAAAAGACAAGATGCTCTTATTCTTGGATTAGGCAATAGAAGAGAACCGAAATATTTAGCTCAACATGGAAATGGGCCATAAAATATAAGGTCTAGCTACCCTAATCCAGAAAATTGTTCCTCTCCAATCTCCACATTCCATTGCATAGCTGGAGGGTGACATTCTATTCTTTGACAATTCTTAAATTAAAGGTCCTATCGACACTTACTATGAATGAGCTCATATGTTGTGCTTACTTCCAAATTTGAAGGAAGGGATTCACTAAGTTACAAACTCTCACTAAGTTACAAACTCTGACGGGTAGGCATTGGACTACGAAGGAAGAAAAAAAAAGGGGGGGGGGGGTGGGGCTTTCATTTTTCCACCCACTTGGGGCATCAATTCAGTGAAAAACAGATGATTTCCTTATGGATAATGTGTTATAAACTTGCAACTCAGTCAAACCAAGCACTGTAAAAGGATGAAAGAGTCAGCTCGTATTCAAAGGAATGATAGGTTATCATAAACAAGTTTAAAAGAATAGGGTCTATTGTCCTTTTTGGAAACTTATTTTGCCACCTTATTTAGTTAACACTTGCACATTTGACAGTGTCAGGACTCTATATGCTTAAAACTTACTAGGAGGAAATATATGTAACAAAAAAGTGACTGTGCAGTTTAATTTTTCTTAGAAGGCTTCGTAGGATGTTTGAGCAGCTGAGTCTGTGTTGTAGGTGAATTTGATCTCTAAAACTAGTTTAGGTTAGCTTTGCCATGTATGAATTTGTCAAGGTGCTGCAGCTTTAGACTTTGAGGGTTTTTTCTGGCTTGCTTCTATTCCTTTGGACGTCAATGGTCGATCACATGCTACTCACATGACCATAAGTGTCAACAGGCTTGAAATAAATATGATCATGGTGTATAATTTAGGGAAATCAACATCTAGTATCACAGCATTTCCTAGGTTTTTTTATAAATGCTTATGTTTGATTGTTCGAGGGTCTAAACCAAAGAAGCCCTAGGTGGCCACCTCCTAACTTTCTATTCTTTTTACCTTCTGTCTCTATTCTTCCCCACTCTCATTCCTATACTCTTTGTGGTTGGTAGTTAAAAACTTTCTTTATGCTTGTGCTTTTTGTCACAGTGGTCTGTGTTGTGTTAGCAATAAGATTATTTATCTTTTCCCATTTCACTACGTATTCTCTTTCCACCTTAGTTCCTTTTTTTTTCCTTCTCCGCATTGTCAATGTTTGAGATGGTTGAACATTTTGATTTCTTGAAAATAACTGATCCTAGTTAGTCTGTACTGTTTTGATATCATCCAAATCTTGTCGTTTTATCAAATTTCGTAAGTTCGGCTCTTGATATCAATTATTGCATTAAAGCTGGGATAGATCTAGCCTCCGCCACTTTTCTCTACATTTTAGTTGTATGGTGTTTCTGCATGCCTTAATGAAACAGAATCTAAGCAGTGTACCTATCTTGTATGTGAGGCTTAATAATTCAGAGTGGGGATGGTGCTTGACATAATTGTGGTTTCCATGTGAGATTGATTAAGTAAAAAGAGTATCTCAAGAACATACTGAAATTCAGTTGGCATAAAGAATTGAGTTGAGGAAGCTTGGTCACTTTGAAAGGCAAAGGACTTGATGGATTAGGTTAAAAAAGTTTTGAATACTAAAAAAATTGTGTCAGAAAGCAACTGTGTTTTTTGCGAATTTTGGATACTCGAGGACTATCTCCAGGGTGAATCTTTTGCAATTAGTGGAGATTCCTTGGAAATTTGTCTTTACTAATGGCAGCATCTCCTGATAAGGCATCACAGACTTTAGAATACGGTGGTTCAGTGTATTTTCAGATAGGCTTCCCAAATGGGGTTGTCAAAACAATCAGAGTAAAATGGAAACTATATTTGAATGGAAGCATACATTGCTAAGATTTGTAGATTTAATAAGTGCGAGCTCTACTGATTATCTGAACTTCTATAGGTATTTGTTTAACTTAACTTTGATAAATTTTGTTTTGTATCACTGTCAAGTATCAGTTATGGTTTAGATTATAATTTTGGCTGTTTGAATTTTTCTGAGTCATATTATGAGGCTTTCTGAGAACTGGACAACTCGTTAAATAATAGAGCTAGAAAATTTATGTTCACACTGATATATATTAATTTAGAAACACTGTATGAAACTAAGTGGGGACACGTTAGTGAAATTTGAACAAGAAAAGTGAAAAGTAAACAAGTTCCTTTTAAGGAAAAAAAAGTGAATTTTGAAACCTAAAGGACTTCTACTTTTGATTTACATTTCCTAATTAAAATCTTCTAGAATGTACATGATTTAGGGCTTGAATGGGAAATCCAATCCATGGGGATGTACATCAAATCTGATCCTTTCTATTAAATGAATATAGGAAGAAATTGTAGTGAAGTGGCTCAATATTACCAAATTTACATGTGTAAGGCAGTGGTTCAAAAATACATCTGCCTGGAGCAGACGGTTTGTACCAGTAATCAGGCATTTTGATCATCTGTTTCAAACGAATTTAGTCAGTAAAATTAGTTCCCAAGCTTTTCCCCCATTATTGTCTGGCATGGTAATTTTCAGTTTTTCACAATCGTTAGCTCGATAAAATATGCAAAAGTATTTGGCTATAAAACTTCCTTTCTAACACGGTTTCTCAATTCCCTTTGATCGGCTTCTTATCCACCCTTTCATATCTTGTGGATTTTTCTCCATCCAATATAGTGTTACACCAGAGTATGAAGACAATCCAAAAAACAATGTTCTATTGGCATCCATACAAATCAGACATATCAAGTCGGATTTTTTAGATCAAAAATAAATGTTAAGCAGTAATTGCAATTAGTCACGAGGCTGCAGATAGTAATAAATCATCATTGCCACTGCCATAAAAAACAGATCCAAGCTATGTGAGCCATGTCCTATGTCTACTAGGTGGCGTGCTTGCATAAATGCAACATTACAGCTGCAGTGCCATTACATGCCAGGTGAAAGAATATGATCAAACAGCCTTCATACATGCTCAGGTTCTGTTCTATTATTGCAAGTGCCATTCACAAACCCAAGACTCATATTTTTAACTACAGAGCATGACAACATGTTGTGGAATCCAACCCACTAAATTCATCAAACTCACTCCAAAAGAATCATCAAATTCATATAAGGTGACAATATCAGATATTAAAATGGATGACATAGATTTTTGATGGTCATTGTTGATGTGTGTGGACTCATGGTAAATCTTCATAGTTTGCACATTCTGAGGTGAATGGTTATGTAATTGCATGTAGACCACATTTTCTTGGAGGATAGAAAACCATCTGGTTTAAATTCTTGTTGGGCATTAATGAATTTGATGTATCCGCTGAAGTTTGAGGACTAGAAAGACAAAGATACCGTTCTGCATATATAAAATGAGGCGACTGATTTATAGTTTCACTCACAAATGATGTGCATTCATACTAATCATTATTGTGAGACTATGTATTGTAGCTTGAGTGGTTGTTGATATAAGTTCAAGCTGTTTTTTCTTCTACCTGAACGGTCTGAAGGTTGGGAACTTGCGATTTAGATGCGGTTGCTGCTTATTTGAGTATGAATCTTGTGTTAGATATTGTTGTTACTACATCGTACAAAAAGATATTGCAATACCTTTGCTTTGATCATCCTGTAAAAAGACATGAATACGGAAAAAAGTTGTCCTTGCAAGTCCAAAAACATGCACTCTTTGGAAAACGGCACTTTCTTGTGTGCAAAATGATGAAATAGGAATTTGAAAAATGTGTCCTAGTTACTGAAGCTGTTTGCAGAATGTAATTTGGAAAATGTGATGTCTATATAGAACACAATTTGCTGCACATGAAGAATTATCAAGACAATGAGAGGCTGCTTCAAGTCTTGTCAAGGAGAGATGGTGAAAGAAAGTTGTATGGGACAAACATCATCTCTTTACTATTGGTAGTACAAAATACTCCTTCACATCCTATGTTTTAGTAGTGAATGATTTTTAGTGGTCTAATAGATTTTCAGGTGCATTGCACGGTAGATCTGGGACAATGTTGTCTCTACTACTAGGATCTAGGTAAGTATAAAACCCTCAAGCTTAATAGATGCACATCTGGTAGCCCTCTGTAGCTCTTTGAAAATGTGCCTAATTATGTTTCCTGAAGATATTCATCTTGCATTTGGATCATCAGCCTGAAGCATTTGTTGTTGAAGCAAGGTCCTCGACACATAAGCCTGAGGGATAGGACTTGACTTGTTAGACTCTTTCAAATTAACAGTAGTTTGGGATACTGGTTTTGGTGATGGCAATCTTAATGCCTGCATCTAGGGAAACTGGAACGCCTATGCCATTATTCTGAGTTGTGATGGTGACATTTCTGGAGACCACTTATGAGAGCAAGCACTCAGTATGTTGAGTCTCATGTTAACCAAGGCCCGAGAAATGTAAATTTAATAATCATGATTTTGCCATCAAGTTGACTTCCAGAGAGATGAGGAATTTGACCCCTTTCAAATTCAGAGCCAAAAAGCAAAATTTCCATCAACAGCTAGTCATTCCTCCCTTCCAGAAGGTTGACCACAACTATAAAACTATTGACCACAACTATAAAACTGTGTAGTGGCGGAAGAGATTTTGGTCTTGCATCCAAAGAAGCAATGTTCTGAGGGAGAAGCACAATTGTCTTTTCAAGTGTACTCACTACTGAGTTCATACCATTTGTTACGCAAAACTACAGGTCTAACAACAATCTGCAGAGAAGAATTAAGGTTTCAAGACTAAAATTATGGTAAAAGCACAATCATTAGAGGTCATTTTGATAAATATCTTTCAGCCACTCTCGTCCATGTTTTAAATATGGTAACATTCTCAAAATTTAGTTTTAATAGTTGAATAAAGTCAACAACTACTTGCAGTGATAAATTTGTTAACTGATATATAAGCACCCGGAGGACTGAAGCGGCTTCTGCTAGCTGGTTATCATGTTCTGTATGAGTTCTCAAGCTGGTGACTGGATACCAACTCATTATTTGATGGATTGGTGGTTATCTTTTATTTAAATGCTTATGGAGAATCTACTAGAGTCACATGATATCTAATTTCATTCAAAATGAGCATAATGTCAAACAAGCATATGTATACATGCAAGAGGGCCCTGTAAAAAATTCTTAGCAGTCACAATTGGGGCAATTGAAAAGGATGCATTGTTGGTGCAGCACCAGTTGCCTAACATTTGAAATGAGGCAAACTATTTCGACATTTTAGTTAATTGTGCTGTCAACAGATGATTTAGAGTATAAGGTGGTTGAGGCAAATTGGCCATCCATTCCAGTTCTCATTCAATCTTCTTGTTGATGTTCATTGTATATTAATTTTTAGAATGTCTACTAGGAAAAGTATCCATAAGGGAAGGGGTAGTCAGCATCCATGGATCTATGGCAGGAGTAGGATTGGGTTTTAGTCTCGCATCTTTTCTTTGTTGACACCAGTGGAGGAATAACATTGCTTTACCACGACAGTCTTCTTGAATTTCTTTCAGAGACTCCGCTCTGAAAGGCAATATGAACAGAAGTAGTGTTGGGAAGTTACATGAGAGCTCTTGGCCATAGAGATCTAGTGATTGAGGAAGCAACCAGATTGGGTATCAAAGTACTTACTATCTTTAGGGACAAAACTTTGATATGTGGAGGATTGTGGAGTTAAGCTTTGTTTTTAAGGGCCCGGAAATCAGAAAATTTTGTATGTTGAAGCAGTTGTGAAGAATAATTGTTTTTGATCAGAGAATCATTGTTGCCTGTAATCTAGGGTTTTCTGTTTTCTCACTTTGTTAGCTTAGCGTCGGAGATAAATCTTGATTCATCCATAGAAAGCATGCTATGGGGAAAAGCTTTATGAATGTGCTTTCTGTCATTCTGTCTTTCAATTAAGTTGTCAAACTCTTTTTAGCTATAGGGGGACATCCAGTTCCTCTTGCTATAGTTTGTATTTGTTTCTTGTTGCTTAAATATGCAATGTTTATATCAGCATCAGTTGCTGGGATTTATTTATTTATTTCCTGCTGTTATTCATACTTGTCTATTTGTCATATTCATGTTCGAATGGGAGATGTTGATCTTTGAAGTGATGCCCTCCTTCAAGAGAAGGAAGAAGGCAAATTACTGCTTCAATAACTGTAACTCAGATTGTCTCCTTTAGCCCCTGTTTGCCTTTTCCATCAGTTGTTTACTGTGAAACATTTGTGTTCTATTTACCGATAAAGAAAGAAATATTGGTGTTTCATTCTGTTGTTATTCCAAAGTAAACTCTGTTTTCCTTACCTTGGTTCCTGTGCAATTGCAGTTGGGACCATTTACTTGTAATTTTTTGGTCATGGTAGTTCTTTTTCATGATCTATAATTTATTGGATAAGTTTTAAGTTAACTTATCCAAATTTTTAACTTCCATCTCAGGAGGTATTTGCATTTGTGTAAGTTGCATTAAGTTTTACTTTATCTCTCACCTTCAGTCAAAAGCAGATTTAAAATATAATAATACAGAAAAGACTGAAATATTTGCCTGTCTGGTAGGCTTCCGTGAAGCATTTCACAGTGAAGTTTCAACTTCAGTCTTCTCATTTTGTTTAACTTCCATGAATTGGTTCTTCACCTTTAAACTCTATCATGGGTTTGGAGATGCTTGGAAAATTGGCTTAGCAATAAAGGTATGTGTGTGTTTTTTTGTTGGGAATCTGAAGACATGTAACAAACTTGCTTTAATTCGTTTATTTAGGAAGAAAATTACAACATTTTCTTTCGTATTCTTGGTGGTTAGATCATTTGCCATTAAGCACAGCTCCTTCTGCCTCAAATTTCCTTTTCTCCATTGTGTACTTAATAATGATCCAACATTTCACATTACAGTCTTACAATTTTTTCTCACTCCCACTGTTGAAAAAAGTGAAGAACGGTTTTACACATGATGTGATTTTATATCACAGGAAAAGTCGGCAGCATCATCCCGTGAAGAAGATTTCTCGCAACGGAGAAATGACCAACACTCTTCAGGAAGAGGATCATCATTTGTGCAGAGGGACTCTAGAGCACGCCAGATTAGTCCTGACCCATCTTATCCTGACAAATCCACGAGTGATAAAAATGAGGAACCCAGTGAGGTCTTATGGATTGGATTTCCGGCTTTATTGAAGGTGGATGAATTGATTTTAAGAAAGGCCTTTTCACCATTTGGTGAGATCGAGAAGATTTCAGCATTTCCTGGCCGTACCTATGCGTTTGTCCGGTTCAAAAATGTAATGGCAGCCTGCAGGGCTAAAGAAACTCTTCAAGGGAAATTATTTGGCAATCCTCGTGTACGTATTTGTTTTGCAAAGAGTGAATCAGGAACATCCAGCAGCGGAAGAAACTCATCGAATGCCCCACCCTCCCCACATTTCAGGTCACATGAACGGCTGGGATCTTCTGAGAACTTTGGACGGGATAGAGACTTTGGTAATTTAAGTGGAGATCCAAGCATGAGACCTCTTTTTATCCCAAATATGGAACCTGGTGATCCTGATGTCATGAGTTTAAAAAGGAAAGGTAACTTGTGGGTGGGGGGAAATGGTGCATTTGAACAAAGGAGGTTCCAAGAACTGGATTCTGATCTAGGAATACCAGGTATTATGTATGAGCGTCGCAGCAGTCCTCCAGGAGACAGAGGTACTCACTTCCAGGATTTTTCTCCTCAACAATTTCCTCGAAAAGGGCCATTCGATGATGACCCTTGGGACTTGCCAGAAGATGCATTGCTCTTTCGTGGAACTAAAAAACTAAAGACCAGCTCATTTCCTCCTGAGAACGAGCTTCCAGAGTATCCTTTCAATGATTCAGAACAAGTGAAACATGTTCTTCCTAGGATATACCCTGATTTTCCCCAGCCTGAGGCCCTTGATAAGAACTTTGATTCTGGACCATTTTGTTATAAGCAGATCACTGACCGCGCTATGAATTTAACCCAGCCTTATGGGGAGAGGAGTGATCACTGGAATGCATCCTATGACGGTGTTCATGGGGTTTCTGTTTCACTGCGTTCAAATCCCACTGAGCGGAAAAGATTGACGCCTGAATCACGTCAGCCCTCTTTGGGTGAAGAGTGGAAATGGGAAGGGACTATAGCAAAGGGGGGAACTGCTATCTGTCGTGCTCGTTGCTTTCCTGTTGGAAAAACACTGGACATGAATTTGTAAGTATTAAATCTGAACAGAGAAAAATATCTCCGCATGATTTTCCATTTTGTGTTGCCTTCAGCTTTGACATGCACTGATTTTGACTCCCTCTTGACTGTTTCTGTGTCTGACGGAAACTAGTTCTCTTTTGGTCTTTAGTTGTTAGTGTGCTCATGTCAGCATTATTTTTGTCGTTATTTTTTTGGTTTCCACTTTAGGATATAGTAATTTCCATCAATTTTAGAAATTCTTTGAAAATGGAATCCAACTGATGGAAGATTCATGGGTATGATGACATAGTTCATATATTGGAAATGAATCAGTTATAAAAATCTGTTTGCAAGTTTGAAGTGGACATGCTTTGGAACACTAGGACAAATTGGACTTGTCTCGGACATTATCTCGGGCATGGTAAACTGGTTTCAGTTCCATTAGGCGTTCAAAAGGCACTATAGTCAGTTTTATTTTTCCTGTTTACCCGTTGAATTGCGTTATGATTTTTCTCTCTGATGAAACCGTTTCAATGCTGCAGCCCTGAATTCTTAGATTGCACTGCAAGGACTAGTCTAGACATGCTGGCAAAACATTATTATCAAGCAGCTAGTGCTTGGGTGGTATTCTTCGTTCCTGCAGATGATCCTGATATTGTATTTTACAATGAATTCTTAAATTATCTGGGTGAGAAGCAGCGAGCAGCGGTGGCTAAATTGGATGAGAAGACCACCCTGTTTCTTGTACCTCCTTCAGAATTCTCAGAGAAAGTGCTGAAGGTACCAGGAAAACTGAGCGTCTCTGGTGTTGTTTTAAGGTTAGAGCATCCTGCTTCAGATTCTGGGCCTCCTCATCATCCACATGAGAAAAAGGATACCAATTTCAGGCCTTTCAATGGGGATCCCCATTACCCAACATCACCTCCAGGACCTTATTCGTCAGTGCCAGCTTTTCCAAATATCGAGAAACCCGTGCAAAAAAATACGTCTTTTCACGGGAATTCGGTAACAGTAGCTCCACCTGTGTCGGTTTCAGGCTCTACTCGGACTATTGGAAATATGCGAGATGCATTTGATGAAAACCGGCATGAATATACGCTCAATCAGCGGAACCCATCACTTGGACAAAACTGGTCTCTTCATGGTCTGCAGAACTCGAACTCTGGTACTAGAAGTACTACATCACAAGCTTCCAGTAGTGCTGGTAATCCCATCGTGCAGGGATATAACTTAGTCATGCCTAGGGCTGTGCAGGAATCAAGTTCAAGTAATTATTCACCTGAAATGTCACGGGTTCAATTCGGTGGAAGTAGCAAGCTGTCCCTACAAGAATCCAAGGCTCCAGTTTCGTCATCTATGCCCAATGCAGCCCTTCAAGCAGAACAGCTTGCACAGTTGGCTTCTTCTCTTCTTGGGCAACAGCAGAGGCAACCAAGGGGGATGTTGATGGGGGAAGATTTTAGGCAATCAAGCAATCTGCATCAGTCTGAGAACACTTACACACCATCGCAGATATATGCCGTACCCCATAATCAGGTATCTTCTGAGCTTTCATCGTCATATTTTGATCAAGGACAGCAATTGCAGCTGCATCAGACCCCGAACGTGCCAACCGCATCTCAAAGGGAGCTTCAGACCGGTGCTCAACTGAATCAGCAGCCCCAAAGTAGCGGTACCCAAGAGGAAGTTGAAGCGGATCCACAAAAACGCCTCCAAGCAACATTGCAGCTAGCAGCGGCTCTTCTTCAGCAAATCCAACAAGGGAAAGGGACTTGATCAGTGAATGTATGAAGGGTAACGAAAATGATGTTTTCGAGTTTTCAATCTGGAGAATGCTATTTCCTGACTATATAATACTTCGGCCTGTTTAATGCACCTTGGCTTCAGTAAAGAAAAGTGAACTAGCCAGTCTTGATGGCAACTTCAGTTATGTCTTAAATTTTTCCTTAATCTTCTCCCTACACAGTTACAGTTTTTGATAACAAATTTTCTTTCTAGTCTGCGAGTGATGATTGCTCTCATTTTTGCTTGGATTTGTTATGCGGTTGTTACTTGGACGGTCACTCAAGGTTTGTTTGAAACAGGGTCAGATTGCAGGGTACCACCACTTTTTCTTCTTCTTCTTTGGGTGGGGGCGTAGTCACTTTTAGATTTGTTGTCTCTGCTGTCTCTTTTATTCATATGACCGAATGGGCTTCAAACATTTGACTGTAAACTTTCATCCCCCGAATGAGACACTAGACTATTCACAATCAAAATTTTAAAATGACTAGCATTTGACAGGTTGTGTGAACTTAAATATGCATTTCGCGAGTGATAATAGGAAAGAGTTGTAAACAAGGACGTATTAAATTTGAATTTTAGTAATTCTTAAAAGCAGTCCACTGTCCCTCAATGAATATCTTAGTCCCGTCGTGATGACTTATCTTTTGACTGGGCCGGAAAGGGTATTAGTCAATGTATGTAAAAGCTAGTTTGAATACTTTTAACCGTTGAACCAAAAAAAATGTACAAGTTCTCACAAAATTAAAATTTTTGTTTCATAAATGTGAACTGGCTCTCTAATGTGAAACTGCCATCACATGTTTCAGGCTTGATGCCAAGTGATTTGGGGGATCTTCTGGATTATTCCCTTAAGACTAGTTTCACTGTAGCGCCCTTAGACGATTTCAACGTTATCTTAGAGTTCTTGGAACCAACCACAGCCGTGAAAATATAAGTCAGTCAGCCTAATGCCCGTGAGGTGAATGCTTGGTGTGGTGAAGATTGTGAGGTCACCAAACCATGGAATATCTGCTTCATTGGCACCCTAATGTCACTGTTAATCTACATGGCAAGACAATGCTCGAGTCTTGAAAGAGATGAAGCCAGGAACATGCAGCCATGTCACACCACTTGCAGCATTGACAAGCAAATCTCACCACAAATCCTATTATAGTAAACACAAATCCCAAGCTCGTCAATGAAGTGCAGATCTAATGACCAAACCATTCAGAAGTCATGGCAGCAACTTTTCATCATTGGGGTCTGTCAGCAACTGCTCTTCATTTGAGTAAATAACATGCAACAATCAAAGCAATTTCCTGACGTTGGCACGTTATGCAGAACCAGATGCATCACCAGTTGATCGATGATTAAATCCACAACTTCCGCACATTTTACCTAGACCAAGGAAACCAGATACATCAACAATATACAGGAACACATGTACTCCCATGACAATGGTATACACCCTATCAGAATATAGCTGTTGATCTTTACTTGTCGGAGCATTTTCTTTCAGGAAGGCCACGATTGAGGAAACTGATAATTGAAATCGATACAGGTCCAAACACAGGATTATCAAATGGCATTACCAAATAAACTGCTATAACACAATGGTTAGGCACCAACATGTCAAGCAGAAATAAAAAAAAGAAGCAATGGTCTACCGCATCATTCCATCTCACTTGAAACAGAGCCTGATAAGGTGAGAGAAATCACAGAATTGAATTAAACCTAACCTTTCTCGCCATGAATCTTCAGCAGATCCCAAATGGATGACAAGAAAACATTTATTCTTCAAGATGGCACAAATGACATGGGTCTCATTTGAATCACCGAATTCTTTGACCTTCCCATTATTATCGAAAAACTTAAACTAAACAAAGTAATAGCAAGGTATAACAATAAGTGATAAAAACATACAGGGCTATGAAGTTCAACCCATTACAAAAGAGTTTGGGTAGGAGAATACAATCAGAAGAGCTAAATCACAATTTGTATACTATCGAATTCTCTAACCTCCCAAGAAGAAATGATCACAGGCATTCAATGAAATTGCCAAATCACCTTTAGCCTTCTTATATGGTTCAACGTGATCACGTATCAAAGGGAATTTGGCGAAAGGAAAATTTTGGACTAAGAAGACCATCCCTTCATATGCACCAAGAGCCTTCAAATGGCCAATGAGGTTCCCAAAGGAAACTTTCAATCAATCTTTACCGATGAGAAAAGGTAATGGACGAAGCAGAAGGAAGTCAGGAAGCCAATGGTGCCAGTAGACAACATGATTGCAATTGCTATTATCAGTGAGTAGCCAAGGTAAAGCGTAGCTGACACTGGTCCACTCAAACTCTTAAGGTCAAAAACCAAGTAATTGATGGAGTACAAGAAGACATACAGAGCAACAGAACCTGAGGCGTAAAATGCTTTCCACCACCACATCCAATCCTCAACACAGAGATGCATGTATGTAAGGACCACAGAAACTTCGGCACAAACAGTAACCAACAATAGGAGGACAACAAGCAGGAAACCAAACACATAGTAGAACCTTCCAAGCCAGATGCTAGAAAGGATGAAGAAAAGTTCAATAAAGAGGGTTCCGAAAGGAAGGGTTCCAGCACCAAGAACAAGAAGCCAGGATGGATATTTACGAGCAGGAATCTCCCTTGGAATCTGGTTAGTTCGAACAGGGTATTGAATAGCCTCAGCTCGTGTCCCTAATAATCCTCCCAAGAGGGTTAGAGGCACTGAAATGCAGAACCAGAGTGACAAGAGAACAAAGTACAAGGAAATAGGAATAGCACCAGTACTATTGCTGCCCCAAAGAATGCAATTCAACAGAGTGAGAATTAGGAAGACAATTCCAGGGAAGAAGCATGCGATCAACCAAGAAACCGACCTCCACTCTTCTGATGTTCCCTTGATAGTTCTCCACAAACGTACACCAATGTAACCAGCCACAATTCCCAGGAAAAGATACAGAATTATCATCCCTGTCAACAGCATACCCCTTGAAGCTGGTGACATGAAACCAAGGGCAGCAAATACAATAGTGACAACTGCCATCCCTGTAATCTGGACCCCATCTCCAACCATAACACACAGTAGCTTTGAGTGATTAGGTTCTCTGAACACATCACCAACAACAAGCTTCCACCCAGAAAGCTCCTCATTCATCTGTGCCTGAGCTTCCTTATCCAATTCCTCATACCTAGTCAAGTCCCTTCTCACTGTCCTTAAGAAGATAACAAAAACAATACCGGCTAAGAAAAAGATCACCATCAGTGAGTTCATGATTGAGAACCAATGGACACGGGCACCTTCCATCTTCAAGTAAGCATCCCATCGAGATGGCCATCTGATGTTGCTCTTCACAAATTCCACCTCATAAGTAAATGATACTGTCTCGTGCTCTCTAATTATTTGAGACTTGTCAAGCTCCATTGGACACTTAACAGCCGTAATGCCATCATACCTATGTAATTTTGTCATCTTCTTAGGGTCATATTTAACACTGCAAGGGTTAACCTCAAAACCCACGATCTCATACCCAGAAACTGCCTTCTTATCAGCTCCTGAAATTACACCCATACCTGCTTCTCCAGTGTCAATTATCTCAACACCAGCCCCTTCATACTCGTGGATCAAAACCTTGAACTGGAGGTGATTGATGATGTAATCATCATTACTATTAGGTGGTGTGTACCCAACTGGAAACCCAGTCCACTGAACTTTAACCCCCTTTTGGTTGGCAAACCGCATGGCAGGTAAGTTATCAAGAATCATATTCACTTGATACAGATCACGGCTTCTCTGTTTTAAAAGCTTTACCTCATGCTCGTTTAGTGCGGTAGTAGTGCAGAGGTAAAGAGACTCATTTTTATTCATTCGGAAACGATAAGGAGAGTTGTTGATCTGGTCACCCATAAGTAGTTCTCCGAGATTCTCGGCACTTTTCTTAATTCCCTCACTAGGTTTGCAGTAAGGAAGACTGTAATAGTTGAAGGGCAGTTCCGTTTCAATAGAAGTCATTGAATTGACTTTGGCATTTATAACTTGACCATTTGAATATGTGTTCATGTAACTTCCCGGCAGATAAAACCCAGAACATGCAGGTGAAGAAAGAACCACATAGATGAAGGCTGCCCAGAACCTCCTTTTTGAGGTTGACGACAAAGCCATTGACTAGATAAGGAACACTACCACAAAACACAAAGCAGATCCTTGAAACTATGGCTTGAGCTAGTTCACCCTCATTGTTGTATTGAACATCATATCTACAAAGGCCAAATTGAAAGTCAGTAAATATATAAACTAATATCCTTCCACTTCAATTAATATATGTGTGGATAAGAACCCCACCCGCAACATACAAACACAATCACCATATATTCACACTCTATGAGTATCCATATACATTTGTGCAGACATACGTGCATAAATCGATTTCTACTTTTTTTTTTTTTTTTGATAAGAAACAAAACTTTCATTAAAAGCAATATACCAATATATAGATTA